TCAACTGGAATCTAATTGACCGCCCCTTTATACTGTAGGAGCGGCAGGTAAAGTTACGGCCAGGGAGGGTAAATAGGAGCCAAAATAAAGAAAAAACCACACAAGATAAAAGCGGTAGAAGTATTTTTATATACCTCCGCCGGCGCCGCGCCTCGCGCTTTCTGTAGTGGTCGAGAGGTTAAAGCGCCGGTACTTGTCGTCGCGGCGTGACTTTTCCGGGTTCAAATCCCGCTAGGAACTTCTTTTTTTTTTTTGTATTTTGCGCGTGTCTTATTTTTGAACTGTGATCCTTTTTTGGAAATCATACACTTTCACTACTGCGCCTTACACGCTTTTACTGTTAGTCCTACCTGTTGAATCGAAACACCGAGATGAAGAAAAAAAAAGATCAACGCAAGTTAACGCGCTAATGCAATCATTTCGTAATGTTCATTAAAAGGAAACCAAGCTAACAGCATCAGTATGGCTTTCACACAAGCGGAGCCGAAACAAGCATCCTTTCCCCAGCGTTTACAATTTTATCTGTTTTCAAATAACGCTCTTGCTACGATTCCTTTCAATAACAAGAGACGCCTATTTAGGACTAATAAAAACTGCAGTTGTAGCAATTAAAAAAAAAATAAAACAAGCAAAAAAAAAAAAAAAAAAGACATGCAGCTGTGGATACATTGATTGAGCGAAATCCTACAGGCAAGGCAGCAGGTCAAACTAAAGCCCCTCGATGTGTTTGCGTTTGTCTTGCAAGTAGCGTCAAATGCGCGAGTGCACGAGGCCCATGTCTCGAGCGGCCCTTGGAAGCAAATGGCGGCGCAGCACTGAAATGAGCGGGCCTTGGAAGCGAATGGCGGCGGAGCACCCGCTCATGGCACGTGTCTCGCGCGCTTCCACAACAATGGTTGGCGGTACTTGTAAAAGACGCTTTTATCAAGGGGCTTTAGGTCAAACGTCTGAGAAAGTAGCAAAACTGAACTAAAAGAGATCATACTTTTACTTGCATGGAATGAGATAAAAAGTATATTTATACTCTTTACATTTTGTTGTGGCAATCGTTTTGTAATATTAACACATTACTTGTTGAATTTTAGTTAGACTAGCAGACGATCACGACCAAATGCAAAAATGAATCAGGCATCGACCATCGCAAACCCTCTCTCTGATGCAAACACCTAAACTGACTTTGGATCAAGAAATGGAATTAATTATAATTTCATTTCTTGATCCAAAATCATTTCAGACGTTTGACCTGCTGCCTTGCCTGTAGGATTTCGCTCAATCAATGTATCCACAGCTGGTAGTCTTTTTTTTTCTTGTTTTTTCTTTTTTTTTTTAATTGCTACAACTGCAGTTTTTATTAGTCCTAAATAGGTGTCTCTTGTTATTGAAAGGAATCGTAGCAAGAGCGTTATTTGAAAACAGATAAAATTGTAAACGCTGGGGAAAGGATGCTTGTTTCGGCTCCGCTTGTGTGAAAGCCATACTGATGCTGTTAGCTTGGTTTCCTTTTAATGAACATTACGAAATGATTGCATTAGCGCGTTAACTTGCGTTGATCTTTTTATCTTTCTTCCCGGTGTTTCGATTGAACAGGTGGGACTAACAGTAAAAGCGTGTAAGGCGCAGTAGTGTAAGTGGATGATTTCCAAAAAAGGATCACAGTTCAAAAGTAAGACACGCGCAAAATACACACAAAAAAAAAGAAGTCCCTAGCGCGATTTGAACCCGGAACAGTCACGCCGCGACGACAAGTACCGGCGCTTTAACCTCTCGACCACAACAGACTTTTTTTTTTTTTTTTTTTTATTTATTACAAGGAAATATTAGACAACTGCAAGACAAAAACATGGTAAGGTTATCACATCCCAATTTCCATTACATATGATTCTCTATCTTATACTCTCATAGGCTCATTGTCGTGAAGAGACAGAAGGAACAGAAAGGAATATTAAATAAATACAAAATGCACGTGCTAAAAGTCAGGTAGATTAATGCATCGATCAAAAAGAACATACCAATCTGGCCGCTCGTCAAGGTAGTTAAATACATTTCGTACATGCGTTACGGTTTCAATGAAATTTGATTTGGTAGATCGGGGAGGGTCCGCATTCCTATCAATCATTCTTGTTTTCCAGAGGCTATGTAACCCCATTAATGTAAACAGATCGTAAGGAAAGCTATCATTCAATTTTAAGGGCAAAAAACGTATTGTGTAAGCATTGATATTCAAGTCTTTTTTCAGTGTCCTTTGTAGGACATCCCAGAAAAGGTAAGCATCAGTGCAGAAAATAAAACAATGCTCTATAGTTTCCGGTTGGTTACAAAGGCGACAATTGATTGACCACGGCACAAAAATTCCACGTTCGCGAAGCCAGGGTTTTACAGGTAACGTAGAAGTATGGAGCTTAAAGAAGAATGACTTTGCTGTAGGCGAGACATGTAGTTTTCGGACACGCCTGAGGACATCTTTTCCAGGGCCTTCACTATATATGCTTCGATACAAAGGTTCAGGGAACGTTATGTCGATCAGATCAGCATATAAGACTTTGCGTGAAACCGTAAATAAATGCTCCAAAGAAAAACGAGCTGTTAGAAACTCAATCGCGCTCACTACTTCTTTGAGGTACCCCACAGGACGTGATGTGCTTGCGGGTATCGTTGTAACCACCAAATAAGGTAATGCACTTGCGAGTTCCGTCTGTAAGTAAGTGCGAAGGAAATGATGAGATGCAGTTTTGAAGAATAAAAATCGAGATATTACTTGCTTTAGAAAGATGTGTATGAGTCCGAGACCGCCGACATCGATGGGGCGAAAGAGGTTATCACGTCTTGTAGGTTCCCAATTGGAACTCCATATAAAAGTAGCAAACACTCTGTGGAATTTTTGAATATGGCTTCTGGTACAGCAAATCACTTGAAGTATATACCAAAGTTTGGCGGCGAGAAACATATTACAGGCCTTAGCTCGCCCGAAAACTGACCACTGGTTGGATTTCATCTTGTCAGCTTGACATTTGATTTTCGACACCCGTTCAGTCCAGTAATGACCATTGTTACGGATACTGTTAAGAGGAACTCCTAAGTACTGAGGGGCAATGCAGCTCCACGATATTTCAGCATACTCTGATGGTGTTGTGGCCCATTGCCCGCACCAGAAACCTACGCTTTTCTCCTTATTAACGAGTGCGCCGGTTGCGTCACAGAAGTTTTGTGTTATTGTAAGGACATTGTCGACGCTGCGTTTATCGGCACAAAAGAAAGCTATATCGTCTGCATATGCCAATACTTTAACTTCAGAAGAGTAGAGACGGAATCCTTCCACGATAGGGCTGTTAAGTACACTTAAACAGAGGGGTTCTAAATAAAGCGAAAATAAAAGCGGTGATAGCGGACATCCTTGTTTGACGGACGATTCCAGACGAATTCGATTTGAAAGTGAACCGTTAACTATGAGCCTGGTGGCACAGTTACGGTAACATAACTTAACACCCTTTAAAAGTGTTGGTCCTGGGTTTAAATGACGTAAAATAGCAAACAGGAAAGCATGGGACACGCGATCAAATGCCTTAGCCAAGTCTACCTGAACCATGACGACTTGACCGGCATGAAGAACGCAGCTTTCTATCACTGAACGCGCAACGTGGATGTTAGTTTGTATAAGTCTCCCCCTAATCCCACAGGTTTGGTGGTCTCCAACAACAGATGACGTGACACACTGTAATCGTTTTGTCAAAATTTTAGCAAAAATTTTGTAATCTACGTTGCATAAACTAATTGGTCGATAGCCTTCAATGCGCTGTAATTTGTCTGGGTCTTGACTTTTAGGGATCAACACAGTATGGCTCTCATAAAATGACGGCGGTAAAGTTCCCATCTCGTACGCCTCCAAAAACACCTCAAGTAGGAAAGGACATAGCAAGTCCTTGTATGTCTTGTAAAACTCTGCAGGGAGCCCATCAGGTCCTGGTGTTTTAGAATTTGGTAACTCGTCTACCGCGCATCGAACTTCTTCCAATGTTACTGGTCCACTGAGGAGATCTCGCTGAAGGTGCTTTACCTTGGGCATTAAAGAAACTAAGTTTTTTGCCAACTGGATGTCCAAATGTTGCGTTTTTCCAAAGAGACTTTTGTAATGCAACTCAAATGCCTTCATGATGACTTCTTCGTTGTCTGAGAGTGTCCCATTACATTCTAAAACTCTAATTTTCTTTGAAAGGCCGTTACGCCTCTCATCATCGAGTGCACGGCGCGTGGGTGTCTCTGAGGACAAGAAACGCCTACACCGGGACCGTACTAGTGCACCGTGTAAACGAATGTGCTCGTATTGCTGTAGCTGACATTTTACACGAAGAATGTCTTCTTGGAACATACCAGGTGTTTCGCACTCCAACTCGTGAAGCATGCATAAATTTTTCAAAAGTGTAGCTTCTTCCTTCTTTGCATGAAAGGATGCAATGCACGCGCATTCGATTGCTTCATTCTTAACTTCCTGTTTGAAGGAGTCCCACTGAGCAAATATGCCAAATTTCTGATTCGTTGACACGTGATTAAAACATTCGCGGACACGTTTCTGAAAGTCTTGGTTGTCTAGCAGTCTTGTATTTAGTTTCCATAAAGCCCAATTTGGTTGTGCCTTTCGCGGTGCGTCTGTTCCAAAACGGATCTTTACAAGGCAGTGGTCCGAAAAAGAAACTGGTTTTACGTCATAAGCAGTCACGTGTGAAATAAGCGAGCTTGAGACGTAAATACGATCGAGTCTCGCATAACTTGAAGCATGAAGGTGAGTGAATCGGAGAGTAGTATTTTGGGAAGCTCCGACGTCAAAAAGGTGATAGTCGAATGCAAGAGTGTTTAGTATGTCGGAACTTCTATCGGGCCTTGCAGAAGGCACTGACCTGTCTTTTATGCTACACACACAGTTGAAATCTCCAAATAAAACAATACGTTTGTCGGTGCTGAGAAATGGGATCAGGCTTTCAAAAAACGAATGACGCTGTCTAACGTCATTATAGGCATATATGCAAATTAATCGCCAGTAGGTACCGTATAAAAGAAAATCGCAACATATGAACCTTCCCTTATCGTCGACAGTGTGAGAAAGTGATGAATACCCTAAGTTCTTGTTCAAAAACAAAAAACACCCTCCCGACAAGCCATCAGCATGACTGACGCATACCTCGTAATGTGAGAGGAAGGGGTCCAGTGCATGAGCAGTATCCTCGTCAGACGATATCTTTGTCTCTTGAACAGCAACAAAGTCAAGATGTTCCTTTAAAAGGAGCTTGTACAATTGAGACTGCCGTGCACGTGAACACAGTCCTCTCACGTTAATGGTAGCGAAGCTGAGGGGTGATGTCAGGAAGGTTTCTAGTTAGGGTGGGAGCACATCGTCATCGTTCCTCACGTCCAGAGCTTCAGATTGCGACGTCTTGTTGCAGAGGAACTCTCGCACCGCAGTTGGCTTGCGTTTCACCTCACTTCCCTCGTCGTTCTTGCTCTCGGCAATGATACCTGAGGCGGAGGGCTGCGCGTTACTTGTCGTCGTAGGAGCAGGTCGTTTCACCGATGTGCCAGTGGACGTCGTGGCGCGTTCGCGTCGGGCAATTGCTTGCTGGCACGGTAACTCAGGTGGTGCGTTAAGGGATGGAAACTCGCTATCCGACCAATCTCTCTTCGTTTCCGTGACACACTCGGTTGGTGTTGACAGTCCTGGCAAGGTGCTGGCAGACTCGGGGTCAGAACGAAGTTCTTCTGGTCGCTGTGTAGACGTTTCCGACTCGGTCCTTTGTGTCTTGATAAGGGAAGAGGTGATGTCCCCTGTGGCATCAACGACTTCGCTGATGTCCATAAGATGATCGTGGACAACATCGTCTGCTAGGCTTCTCGACTGCCTCAGCTTGTCTGCGTAGGTGGTGACGCACTCACTCGCGTCGTGTCCGTAGCGTCGGCACTCGCCGCATCTCGGGACTCTGCACTCACGACGGATGTGACCAATTCTGTTACACCGAAGACACAGCGGTGGCCGACCAGGGACGAGCACCAGGCTTCGACAGCCGAAGACCGTGAGGTGATGTGGAATATTCGTTGCATTCATTCCTTCTCTAAGTGTCAGGGTCACCTCTTTGTTGAGCGTTTCCATTTGCTCCATTCCGGAGCACTTCCATTTTTCTCGTACAATGGAACGGACCGTGCCAAAAGGCGCCAGTGCCTCTTCGATTCTCTGGTTTTCCATGTGTACAGGTAACCAGAGAAGTTTCAGCTTCACATCTCTGGTGTCGGGATCGATGATGAGGCATCTGCGTCCCTTCACGGTAAGCTCCATTTTGTTTACAAGCTTAGTTTTACTTAAGGCGTTTGCGCACGTTACCATCCAGACGTGGCTCATCTGAAATTGGCCTATTCCGAGGATATCTTGGGCGTCGACAACATCTCGTAAGGCGTCACGGAAGTCTGGGGCTTGGTAGGGTCGTGCGGCGAGATCGCCATGAAGAAAGACGGAGTTCAGGCTCAAGTTACCTGTGGGTAGACGAGGTAGCACGGTCCGGTATTCATTGGTCAACATTTCAGTAGTACTGGCCGAAGCCTCAGCGGTTCCCCGGCCGGTGGCCGGTATGTTTTCCTTGGAGAACATCGAAAACACGACCGTTCTCAGCGGCGTCTTCTTCTTTCTCCGACCACAACAGAAGGCGCGAGGCGTGGCGCCGGCGGAGGTATATAAAAATACTGCTACCGCTTTTATCTCGTGTGGTTTTTTCTTTATTTTAGCTCCTATTTGCCCTCCCTGGCCGTAACTTTACCTGCCGCTCCTACAGTATAAAGGGGCGGTCAATTAGATTCCAGTTGAAAGTCCCTCCAATCAGTTTCTGCGAGCGACATTAGGCTTTTGTGATTGAAGCGATGCGGATCTCTCCGCCATTAGGCAGGGACGCTAGGTAGTTCCTTGTCCCCATGGAGCTGGTCACGTGACGTAAAAATCCCTCCTGGCCGCGGCCGCGTCCGCAGCCGCAAGATGAGCAAACCGGCCCTGGTCTCATGCAGCCAATCGTGAGTCGATCCCCATCGGGATGCGTTGCTGTCGACGTCATGGGCCCTCTCCCACGCAGTCCGCGTGGCAACCAGTACCTGTTGGTTGTCACGGATTACCTTAGCAAGTGGGTTGAGCTATTTGCATTGCGATCGCTGACGTCCAAGAAAATCTGGACTTGTCTGATGGAGACCTTCACACGCTTCGAATTTCCGGCGAAATTAATTAGCGACAACGCTACATATTTTGCCAGCAAACTGTTCCGAGACTCATGCGCCGCATTGGGCATTCAAAACAGGCGGACGTCTCCTTATCATCCACAAGCTAACATTACAGAGCGGGTGAACCGGAACTTAATATCGATGTTAATTGCTCACACCTAACGTTACCACGGCTGGGACGCAAAGCTACAAGAACTCGCGTTCGCAACGCGCACACCTTAAAGGAGCTATGCAACAATTTTTGTACTTTGAGCAAATACCACTTAAAACGGATCCCTAACGTTAATGACCTATGAAACACGCGTTCGTGTTTCACCACACGCAATAGAAGTCCCAGAAAAAAATTAAAGAAAAACGAGCAGCGTTCACCCCCTCAACTCGCAGCCAGAACAAGAGGCCACGTGATCTGGAGCCGATTATATGCCGCCTGTGTTGATCATAGCCACGCGCTGGGGTTGGCAAAGCGCAGGACACGCGCTGAGTTCCAGGCATTGTTATGGCTCGGCTGTTGTCGTCGTAGCAGCGATTGGACACGGGTCACAACCCGAATGCTTCTCGAGCTAGATATTGTCACGAGCCCAAGTCGAGTGCCCACGCAATGCTCGGGTCCAATCTATGAACCGCATTCAAATATCGTCACTTGGGTGTACTGCGATCCCCGAGTGACGTCATCAAATTTTGCAAAGGAGAGATTGAATGAAAATGAACGATTTTGTCCTTGAAATTACACCGCAACAAAGGAGTTTCTTGGCCAATGGCGTTGCGTGTGAGCATCCTTAAGTCCCAGGTGTGCCAGTAAGCTCGTGTAGAGAGAAAAACATTCCAATTGAATATCGTTGCACAGCTCCTTTAACCGGTCGACTGGTTTTACGCCAGCTTGCCTTAATTTCGGAAAAGAGTTGACTTTCCCACTGGAAAACACTTGCACGTCCAACAATCCTGGCGCTGCTCGCTCATACGGTCAGTTCGCAGGAAGCCTATGACGCAGACTCAGGGACATCGCTCGTGATGCCCGGGAGAGCTTGGACGCCGCACGGCTTTAGCAGACTGAGCAGTACAATCGTAGCCACCGGGACGTGCAATTCTAAGTTAGAAACCTTGCACTCCGACGGACACACCCACTTAGTGACGCCTCCGGAGGTTTCACAGCTTCCTTGGTGAACAGGTGGGATAGTCCGTATCGAGTGCGCGACAAGGCCTCACGCCTTACGTACACGCTTGTTCATTGTGAGTCTGGACGGCTCGCCGGTCCTGTTCATGTTACCAACCTCAAACGATATTATTAATCGGATGACGAACTTCTCTCGCAGGTCGAGAGTGATGCCGATCCTGGTAATACTTAATTCTGCGAGGACTCTTCCTGATATTGCTGACGAATTCGAGGATCTAAGAAGATGCGCGTTGTAATAGGCTTGAGCGAGAACTAGTACTTTCCCCACTGGATTTGCGCGTGATTCTGGCAGGTGGACGCATAGACGTGAATAGTGTGCTCGCAAATTTAACTTGTCTATTGCCGCGCCCAACGTTATGAACGCTTTCTCGTTGAAGAAACCCTAGTAGAAGACCACTCATGGGACCTTTTTTTTTTTTCCTCTGCTCTCCAAGATGCCTCGGCACTACAGACAGAGACGCTCACCTTCTCCCCCACCACCCTGGGAACACCATGGTCGTCGCCCTCCGGCTTCGGGACAACGACGCCGCCGGTCCTTTTACCGACGCCGGGGCAACTCCGCAACCTGGACCGTGCTGGGCCCCCAGGGCCTACCCATCTCATGGATATCAAACCTGCCCTGGGAGGTACAGCCCCGGCCCCTGACCACGGACCCCCGACCGAAGTCCCGGAGCCGTTTCGGGGATACACTCTCACCTACGGCCATCCCAACGACAAGGTGCAGCTGTACAATAAGGGGGAGCGCCGGCTCCTGTGCCCCCTTTGTGGGGTGCCCGAGATAGACAGGGGCACCCACCAGCCAGGCGCTCTCCACCGTGCCCGGGAGTCGGCCGCCGCCGCCAGGGCTGTCGTTTTGCGTCTCGCGGCCATCGACGAGCACAACCTCCGGCGGGCCCTGGCAGTCGTTCGGCGCCTCAAACCCGCTCTCCTCCGCCCCCCCCCCCCCCCTCGCCGGCCGACATCGCCATCAACATTGATGACAACGACGAACCCTTCTAAACACCCTACACCGACAACTCCAACGAACTCGGGGGAGGGGGGAGGGGGGGGGGGGGGAGTTTGTGGTGTTTGCGGCCCATCGTCGTGAAGAGAAAAAACACTCGCGCTCGCCGCCCGGCGCGCAACGTGCGCACGAGCCACGATCGAGGCTCGGGCCGCGAGGAGTCTGTTCACTGCCATTAGAGCCACTAAATAAGCTGCGCTTAGAGTATCGGCACTCCGTTCCCCGACATTGTTATGGGCGCCGCCATTTTGGCTCGTATGCAGAACAGACGCAACGGCCGATCGTCATGATTCAAAAGTGCGACTTCCTCAGCATTAGGTTCGGTGTTAGGAAACTCATGTAACATTGCTTTGCTCTGTCGCGAACGGTTTAAACATTTGTGGAGGGCGGAAAAGCATTTCTTGTGATTTCAGATAAAGGTTCAGATAACTGGCAACCATGATTTTAAGACACAATATGGCCAAGTGTCGTTACTCTGAAGCGTAGCTTATTTAGTGGCACTAACTGCCATTAGACAGTAAACGAGTGTTTTCTGAGGTCTGACTTGTTGGTCCTTCTTGCGGGTGAGCAGTAACACCGAACTCTACAATCCATAAATTAACCACTAGCTTTAAATATTATTTACGCAAGAAAATTATTAAATTTACGGTTATCCGCTTTTCCTACGAGTTGTCTTGGCGTGGCACACCGCAAATATTCTTTTCCTTTGCTGTGTTTGTGATGGACAAGATATCTGGGCGTTGCACACCGCAAATACTGTTCTTCTTTGATGTGGATAGTCATGGACGAGGTACTATCCCATTGCTCCCTGTGTTCTTCGATGGCCAGTGCCTCAAACATCCCACGCGCAAGCGGATTCTTGTTTGTTGCCAGAATGGTGATGTTGCTGAAGGCTGCACTGCATTTGCATGTCTCACAACGAGCTAGTAAATGGCCTGCTGCTGTGCCCTTTACATACGCTGCATATTATCTAATTCTGTCATTTATGCAACGGCCTGTTTGTCCAATGTAACATTTACCTAGTGTTGTACGGAACGGCGTTCCAAGGAACGGCGTTCCTGGAACGCGTTCCTTTTAGGAGGAACGAAGGAATGCTACCGTTCCATTTTGCATCGGTGGAACTAGAACGGGAACTCGTTACATTTTTACTAGAACGAAAAAAAGGAACGGCGTTTCTTTTTTTTATCCAGTGGGGTAATTTTTATTTTATTAGGTGCGAAGCTCCTTAGGGGCTAGCCATGTTCGTATGTCCGTCCGATGTCCGGCGTCGGCTGGTTATGCGCACGAGCACGAGAGCACATGCTCCCGTGCTTGTGTAGGGCAGAAACAACCGCATCTCCACGTGGGGAATGATGTTGATTGGGGCGAAGCTTTGGTGGTGTTTGTCTGCGTAGACGGTGAGCCGCAGCATGCCGAGCCTTTCGTTCGTTTTCATCCACGTCAGAAAGAGAATATGTGGTATGGAACGTGGTTATATACGCATTTGAGCATTTGACCGCATGCAGAGTGACATGGATGAAAACGAACGAAAGGCTCGGCATGCTGCGGCTCAGTGTCTACGCAGACAAGCGCCACACCAGAGCTTCGCCCTAATCAACATCATTCACACCGTAAAGACGCGGTTTTTTTTGTTTTTTTTCTATGCCATTCGCCAGTTTAGCTAGAAAATATTTTTTCGAACTTTATTATTTCGTAGACTTGGTCATCCGTTTGCTGTCACTTTCTGATATATATACTACGTAGATGACTTTGTTGGGCGCAGCACCATCCTACGTGAGGACTGGAGATATTGGATGTTTTACAACGTACGCACTAGAAGTATCCCATCATGTTTGCGTGTGGTTTCGATAGAGGCGATCTCTGATTCTTCTGTAAGGGTATATGGGCTTTATTATTGGTAATCTCTGTAGGATAGGCCGCAACAGCAAGAAGCTTAACAATGTTGAAAATTACCCGAGTAAACGAT